AGCTACTACGACTCCTCCTCGCCCGGCCCGAGGTATGGGGGGAGCGCTTCACCGTCTCCATGTACACTCTCCTGGACGTGCGCGAGCGCCTCGCGCTGCCCGGCGAAGCAGCCAAGGTCGTCTGGGTCACCACCGACGCCACCACGTCCGTTGCCTTCGGCGCCGACTGGACCGAGAAGATCTACCTGCGGCAGGACCTCAAGGACTACAAGGGCATGCTCGGCGAGGCCCTCGGCGACTCCGACGACAGCACTGTCGAGATCGCTCTCGGCGAGGCCATGGCCTACATCGTCCTAGCCGGGCGTCAGGGACCATCGTGGAGCGGACGCATCGTGCTCCTGGCAACGGACAACATGGCATTCACGAACTGGCTCAAGAAACGACACCCTCGACCTCGACTCGTACGCCACCTTTTTAGGATTCTGCACTACCTTGAGTGCAAGTACAACTTCATGACGATCGGCCATTTCTTCCGTACCTACCACAACGTCACGGCGGACTTCGGCTCCAGGGCCAGCCAGGAGGAGGTCAAGCGCCGCATGGACGAGCTGGGCCTCTCGAGCGTCGACGCGGCGCACGAGTGGGCGGACCTCGTCGCCAACGGGGTTCGCCGCAGGGTGCTCCGCTTGCTTGGCGGCGACGCCGAAGACGGCCGGATCGCCCTCCAGCTCCGTGAGGCCCGCCTGAAGAGGAGGTTCAGAGAGGTCCCCCTCGCCACGGCCCCGGGGAGGGCCCTCGAGTGGGGCCTAGGAGCAGGTTTCTTCTCCAAGATCTGGACGGGCCTGGGGGGCACGGCGCACGCCGCGCCCATCGGCGAGGACCCAGACCCCAGCGCGGGCCCCGTCTGGGCGATCCTGGCGACGCTAGGCCCAGACCCCACGGGGCGCAGCGCCTGCAAGGCGGCCAGGCAGGCCGCCCGCCTGGGCGCCCAGCGGATCGCCCTCGACGCCCCGCGGCAGCTGCCTCTGGGCGAGGCCGCTCGCAGTCTGCAGGAGCAGGGCTTCACGGTGAGCACCGAGGACCTCCTCGCGACCGAGGTCGGGGAGCTGGTGGCGCGCCGCCGTGCCCTCCTGTTGGGCACGAGGCACGTGGGCGACGAGCAGCAGGCATGGACGTTCGACACCCTCGACCTCAGGCGCCCGATTGCGCCCGCGGTCGGCCCCGTGCTGCAGCCCCCGAGCGCGCTGCCGCCCGACGCATGGCTGCTCCACGCCCGCTTCGAGGCCGACCCCCGCATGCGGAGGGCGGAGGACCGGCTCCTCCCAGTGGGCGTCGGCCACCTCTGGTCGGACAAGGGACGCGAGGTGGTCTACAGCACGGGCGGACCCCTCCCGACCATCCAGGCCGACTGGACGACACACCCACCGCCCCTGATCCGGGACTTCAAGGGCCCGGGGCACGGGGTCAGGCGCGTCACGCTGGAGGAGAGCTGGCTTGCCGTGGGTGGCACCCTAGAGGACTTCCCCACGCCCCAGGACGACGCCACGGCCGCACATGTCACGAGGCTCATCGCGGGCGACACGGGGGCTCGACTCGCCGGCGCCATCGCCCTCTGGGCGGGAGCTGCCCTTGACTGGGAAGCGAGCGCAGGCGCTTGCTTCGACCTCGACGCGCAGGCCAAGGAGCGTGGCATGCGCGAATGGCTTGCACGCTGGAGGCAGGGTCTACTGCCCGGGCGCCCGCCACCGGCCCCCCTCCCACACGCTGCACCGGGGCTACCGCCAGCACACCCCGGCGAGCCCGGCCGCCACGCAGGCGGCAGCACCCCGGGAGAGGGGGCCGACCGCCGCCCCCCGACGCGCTGCGCCATCTTCCGCCCGGCTGACGGGGGTATCGACGCACGCGCGGCGGCTCTCGCAGCGGGCCTCGTCTGGCAGGACATGGGCGGCACCCAGGACGAGCACGACGCCGCTCGCGCTGCGGGGGCGTCAACACTGCCCGAGATCGCCAGGCCCCCTCGCAAGCAGAAGATGCCCCAGCTGGGACTTGTCTCCATTTCGGCCCCCGAGCACCTCGTCGACCTGGCGCCGGACGTCCCGGTGTTCGCAGAGGTCCAGGAGTGGGTCCACAAGAAGTTGGCCAGCGGGCTGGCGCACAGCACCCGCACCAGCTACGGCGAGGCCTGGTCCAAGTGGCTCTGGTGGTGCACCCGCAGGGGTATCCCGCCGCTGTTCGAGGGCGACTCCAAGAGGCAGGTGACCGAGGACGAGGAGGAGCTCCTGCGCTTCATCGGCTACCTGGGCTGGTTGGGCAAGGGCAACGGCACCATCCTCAGCACCCTCTTTGCACTCCAGGGCGGCCACGTGCGGGCAGGAGGCGGCGACCCTCTCGTCGGGAAGAAGCGCATCAAGGTCCTCATCGACTCACTCCAGAAGGGCGGCCCGAAGGAGGAACGCAAGCTCGGCGTCACGCCGCGCATGATGATCTGGCTGAAGAAGGAGCTTAGCCCCACCCCGCCGTGCCAGGGAGAGAGGGCCACGAGGGGACCTGACTTCGACTCGGTGGTGCTCTGGGGGGCCCTCTGCACGGGCTTCTTCTACCTCTGCCGCGCGAAGGAGATCGTCGACAGCGGAGGCGTCGATGAGCAGATGTGCCTGCGCGGGGTCGATGTGGCATTCCACGACAAAGAAGGAGGTGCTGCAGCTCCTGGAGTAGGCTCGGCAGCCAAGGCCCTGATCACTTTTCGCAAGACCAAGACGGACCAGCGGGCGTTCGGAGCATGCAGGACTCACCACAGGGCCGAGGCGGAGGTCTGCCCGGTGGAGGCCCTGGAGCTCCTCCGCCTCCACGCGCCCGAGCGCTTCCAGGAGGGCTCCGAGGGCCGCCGCCCGCTCTTCCGTTGGGCCTCGGGCCGCATGGTCAAGCGGGAGCAGCTCCAGGCCGCACTGCAGCGAGCCGCTGCGGCGGAGGGCCTGCCGCCGAAGCGCTTCAAGAGCCACTCCCTCCGCATCGGAGGCGCCTCAGCGCTGTGGCACGCGCTGGGCGATGCCGAGGCGGTCAAGAGATGGGGACGCTGGAGCTCGAACGCCTTCCACGGCTACCTCTACGACTCGGAGGAGCAGTCGAGGGGCGTCGCGGCGGCCATGGCCCGCGACGTAGCCACGCTCCACGCGGCATGACGGACGATGGCGGGTGGGCCACCTGGCCAGAGCGTGGCACGGCAGAGGCCGCGCTCAGAGCGGCCAGAGCGAGGCCGCTCAGACGGAGGTGGAGCTGGTCGCACCTCGTGCTGCAAAATGCGGGGTGAGTGACGCTCTCTCCCCTCTTTTTCTCCTCTTCTCCCCTCCGGCCCTGGGGGGCTCTTTCCCCGGGCCTGGCCCTCGTGGGCCCTCTCCCCGGGGCCTCCCCGGTGCCTTTGGGGCGCCTTCCCTCCTTTGCTCTCCTCGGCTTAGGCTTCGCCGCCGCCGCCAGTAGTTAGAAGTTTTGGGCTCGTTAACTCGTTAACTTGCTGAGTTTTGGTAGCGACCAATAACGTGTAGGTTTGAAACTCGTTTCGAAACCGTAGGTTCTTGGGAGTGTTGGGGGAAACCTCAGCCACTTTCCCCTGCTCTTTTGCCCACCCAGGGACCCTCAAGAGGCTCCTCCCACCCTAGGGCTGCCGGTCCCCCGCCTGCGTGCACGAGGTGCGCGGCGGGTGGGCCACCTGGCCAGAGCGTGGCACGGCAGAGGCCGCGCTCAGAGCGGCCAGAGCGAGGCCGCTCAGACGGAGGTGGAGCTGGTCGCACCTCGTGCTGCAAAATGCGGGGTGAGTGACGCTCTCTCCCCTCTTTTTCTCCTCTTCTCCCCTCCGGCCCTGGGGGGCTCTTTCCCCGGGCCTGGCCCTCGTGGGCCCTCTCCCCGGGGCCTCCCCGGTGCCTTTGGGGCGCCTTCCCTCCTTTGCTCTCCTCGGCTTAGGCTTCGCCGCCGCCGCCAGTAGTTAGAAGTTTTGGGCTCGTTAACTCGTTAACTTGCTGAGTTTTGGTAGCGACCAATAACACAAACAAACATACATACATACATACATACATACATACATACATACATACATACATACATACATACATACATACATACATACATACATACATATGTATTAGCCACCGCCCCCTCGGATCCCAACACATTGGTTCCCCAAGTGGCGGATGTGGATAAACCCCCGCCCCGAAAGGATGGCAGAACCCTGTCCATCTGCACCGAGGTGATGACTGCAACATTAGAAACAAGGACCTGTTTCAGACAAGTAAGTTGTACATCAAGCCACGGGCGGCCAACATGAACGTCTACACGCTTGGCCTCAGCGTGTAACTGATCTCCACCCGACGACACTCGCAAGACCCGAATCTCCATCGTACACTGACTCCACCTCTCCCTCCTCCTCGCCATCGTCGTCCCCCCCCTCCTCCTCCTCCTCGTGTCTCTTCCTACCACATCCCTCTATGATGTTCCTCATCTGCTCCTCCTTATCATACCTCCTCCTGCCCCACGTTCATCCTCCGACTTCCCTCCTTCCTGCCTTCTACTCTTCCAGCTTAACCGGGTAATCCTACACCTCGTCCGTCATCCTGCTAACCCTTGTGTTGCATCTTTGGGGGGCCTTGTTTGTCCCGGCGCGCCGCGATTCACGACGAATCCGCGGCGAATCCACGTCGAGCGTGTCGAATCCGGGTCGGGTCCACGTCGGACCGCGTCGATTTCGCGCCGAATGACAAAAGGAGAGGCCGCCGTGTACAGGACAGCACGAGGCCCCCGCCACCTCTGCCAATCCTCCACGATGCCTTCTCCTGCCAGAGCCGCAGCAGCCGCGGGCTGGGCAGCAGATGACTACCTACCAGACCACCCCAACCCAACCCGAAGACCCCAATTTCGGGTTGGGGGGGTACGGGTTCCAGATGTGTTTTTTCCGTGTTCCCCGACCCCCCCCAACTGGAAATGGAGGGCAAATTGAGGCCTTCGGGTTGGGTTGGGGTGGTTTGGTGGGTGGTGAGCAGAGGCGCGCGACCCGCCCAGACCGAGGCGCCGACTGTAGAAGGCGACCACCAGGGGCACGGGAAGCGCCTCCAGCCTCAATGACGGGGGGGGGGCCGCAGATGGACACGGCCCAGGCAGCGCCAAGGGACCTCACCCCGAAGGGGGCCCCCAGCGCTTCCGGCAGACGAGCCCTCCCTGGACCCCCACACGACGCCCAGAAACGTCCAGAATGTCGGTCCTCGAGGCTCCCTCTTCGACGTCAAAAAGTTGCACCCACACAGTCAGTGTAATGATCTGCGACTGGGAATCCTGACGAGGTCCGACCGTATCACGTTTGCGAGTGGTTCAAACCGCGGCGGGAGCGTGGGTCGCTCCGCCTGCTCGTTCACGCGGGGGGCTGGAACCGACGCCGCGGGCGGTTGGAACTTACCAGCCTCGAACGTATCCCTATCCCTAAGATTGACACGCCAACAGGCGATGACAATCTTAGGGATCCGCCCTCAAAAAATAAGGGAATCCCTAAGACTGGCATCGTGATGAGGAGGTGCCCAGCATAGGGATAGAGATATGTTCCAGGCTGGTAAGGAACACGTTCCCCCGTAAAAGTGGATGGCCGGAACCATCCCGTCTGGTCGGCATGGGCGGCTGGAGCACTGGCCCTCGGAAAAACTAGGGGGCTGGAGCCTCACCCAGTTTAGGGCTTGCAACATATGACTATGTCGGGGGGAAGGGGGGGGGAAGGCCAGGAGGGGGCCCCAACATTACCGGCCTCGAAAAGAAAAACGAACACTGATGCCACATTCACATGTGAACGCCTCCCCCTCCCCCCAATGTTCAAAGTTGGCGGTGGGTCTGATGAGTTGCACCTCGACCGTGGTCTCCCCCGTGCGTGCCAACTTTGAGTTTGGGGGGCAGAAGGGGTATTCACTAATTGTTTCCCTCTACCGTATATCCACGCCTAGTTCCCAAGAAGCTGGGTCAGTCCGCGTGCTTATGCATCATCCATCAGTCGTCATCGGTTGGCGCTTCGGTTGGTCTGTCGGCAGGTCGGTCTTTCGGTCGTCGGTCGTCGTCGTTTCGGTCGGTCGGTCGGTCGTCGGTCGGTCTGTGGGTTTCCGTCGGTCGTCGTCGTCGTGCTTCGGTCGGTCGGTCGGTCGTCGTCGGTCGTCTTTGTTTCGGTCGGTCGGTCTGGTTGTCGGTGTCGGTCGGTCGATCGGTCAGTCGGTCGGTCGTGGTCGTCGGTCGTCGTCGTCTCGGGCAGATTCCCGACTGCATCGC